CCCCCCCCCCCCCCCCCCCCCCCCCCCCCCAACCAAACCCGAAATGGCTGGTTCCCAGCCTCAATGTGCGCGGATGACCGCTCTTTGTGCGCGGATGACGCGGTTTCTCTGTGCGCAGATGACTCGTTTGCAATGTGCGCAGATGACTCGCTTTCAATGTGCGCAGATGACGCGTTGACCGGTGTACGTTGTTCCAAGCGGCGGGGCCTGCCGTGGGCTGACTTAAAACGAGGTGGGGTGACTTACGGCGCCCGCTCGTATAGATGATTTTCACATTAAAACATACAACCATACATTTATAGTGGATTTCCCAGTCAGCCATGTTTGACTACCGGATAGAAAAGTGCTGAACCATTTCTTGTTGTCGAGACTGCTCCCGAGTTGTTGTAGATGGTTAGTTGAGCGGTTTAATGTCAATGGGGATCGCCTTCCCCCCAGTTATGTTTGTTGGTTTAGTTTCACCCCATGAATAGTATATATAGGTAAATTACAACGACCTAACTGTTCTCCCTCACTGTAATCATGGTTAAGATTCGGGGAATCATCCCAAAATGGCCCAACATTTCAGCGAAATATTCTAATTTGCCCAGATATATCCCCCTACTAGCTATATTTATTAGAATGAGTTGCACCATAGCTATCCTTTGGGGGCATCGCCTTGTATGGATTGTTCATCCCTAATAGGACAACCTACGGGAAACGACGCCATGTTTTGTTGTTCCATACCGTGCCATTGTCGCAAATAGTGTGAATGCATGGCGTGCCTATATGTACCAGACTATTTATACTGATTCCCAGATTAATCTTATCCCCTTAGATAAAGCATTATTAACGTAAGGGCCCACTCAACTGCTGGATTCATTCCATATATAGACAACGCTGTCTTCGTTTTTGGCAGATGGTGTACAGTGATACTTTCCGGATCGGCCCATGATTTGGCGTGGTTTGGCACGTGGCGATCAACAGAGATCGTGGCCATCGTCTGCTGGAGTTTCGAGGAGTGGACGACGACCTCCTACCCCTAAGATGGCTGTAAAGTCCAGTGTTATCATGTTATATAAATCTGTATTGTCAGATGCAGATGGCAAAGTTTTTTGGGTTCTGCAGACGCAACTTGCGAATTGCTTATTTTAGGCTACCGAATGATTGCGAGTTGTGAAAACAATGGCAGCAAACAAACAAACAAACAAAGAAGCAAACAAAACAAACAAAAGCAAACAAACAAACAATCAAACAAGCAGGCAAACAAACAAAGAAACAAACAAACAAAAACACACAAACAAAAACACACAAACAAAAACACACAAACAAACAAACAAGCAAACAAACAAACAACCACCCAAACAAGCAAGCAAGCAAGTAAGCAAGCACACAAACAAACAAACAAACAAACAAACAAACAAACAAACAAACAAACAAACAAACAAACAAACAAACAAACAAACAAACAAACAAACAAACAAACAAACAAACACACAAACACACAAACAAACAAACAAACAAACAAACAAGCAAGCAAACAAGCAAAGAAACAGACAAAAACAAGCAAACAAAAACACAAACAAAAACACACAAACAAAAACACACAAACACAGACACACAAACAAAAACACAAACAAACGAACGAACGAACGCACGAACGAACAAACAAACAAAAAAATAAACAACCAAACAAACAAACAAACAATCAAACAAGCAGGCAAACAAACAAACAAAAAAACAAACGAACAAACAAACAAACAAACATACAAACAAACAACCAACCAAACAAGCAAGCAAGCAAGCAAACAAACAAACAAACAAACACACAAACACACAATCACACAAGCAAACAAACAAACAATCAAACAAGCAAGCAAACAAGCAAAGAAACAAACAAATACAAGCAAACAAAAACACACAAACAAAGACACACAAACAAAAACACACAAACAAAAACACACAAAAACAAGGTCACGCCGCCGTTAGCGGTGCTGGACGTTTTGGCAGCTGGCTTGCAGCAATCTCTGTCTCAGTGAAACAGGGCTGGCATGGCTGCCCACACATCTCCTTTACAGTTGCGGCGCCACATCCAGCTGTAAATCCAATCCCACAACGCAGGATTCACCTTTTTGCTCGTTGCATCCTTTGCTGTGATCTCGGATGGAACATTCTTTTTCAAATCCTGCCATGCTCTGTCCAATTGTTCTTGATGTACATCTTGCGAATGCCCCACGTAGCAGCAACGTAGCATCCACGTGGTGTGCAAGTGCAAATGAACGTTAACATCCCACCCCACCCCAACCCATGCCCCACGTAGCAGCAACGTAGCATCCACGTGGTGTGCAAGTGCAAATGAACGTTAACATCCCACCCCACTCCAACCCATGCCCCACGTAGCAGCAACGTAGCATCCACGCGGTGTGCAAGTGCAAATGAATGTTAACATCCCACCCCACTCCAACCCATGCGCCACGTAGCAGCAACGTAGCATCCACGTGGTGTGCAAGTGCAAATGAACGTTAACACCCCACCCCCCCACCCACACCCATGCCCCACGTAGCGCAACGTCGCATCCAGTGGGGTGCAGGTGCAAATGAACGTTACCATCCCTCCCCGCCCCAGCCCATGCCCCACGTAGCAGCAACGTAGCATCCACGTGATGTGCAAGTGCAAATGAACGTTAACATCTCACCCCACCCCCCATCCCACCCCTGGCCGTATATGCTGAAAAATAATAGTAAACTCCTCTGATATGCTAAAAAGTAGTAAATTCCTCAGCGCCGCTAACGGCGGCGTGAGCTAAAACAAACACACAAACAAACAAACAAGCAAACAAACAAACAATCAAACAAACAATCAATCAAACAAACAAACACCCAAACAAACAAACAAACAAACAAACAAACAAACAAACAAACAAACACACAAACAAACAAACAAACACAAACAAAAACAAACAAACGAACGAACGAACGAACAAACAAGCAAACAAGCAAGCAAAAACAAACAAACAAACAAACAATCAATCAAACAAACAAACAAACAAACAAACACACAAACAAACAGACAGACAGACAGACAGACAGACACACAAAAACACAAAAACACAAAAACACAAAACTAGAAGTAATCATGATAGACTATTTGAACATCTATGTGCTCTCAATACCAATCAATCTAGTATGACGCTTAGACCCCGTGGTTTGCCCATGAACCAAATAGCATACAAAACCAATGAATTTGTAACGAGTTCAAACAAAAGAAATGAACTTGCGTTGACAAAGTTTAGCATGGCATGGCGGCTTGCAAAATCTTGCGAGAGAACTGTACCGCTATTAGGGTTCATTTGGTGTTTAGGTGAAATATAAAAAAATGTCGCACGCCGTGGAACAACTAACCGTTGCAATTAGGATTCGATTAGGGTTCACACATAAAATATTAAAAGTCTCCCACCCCCAAAAAAGAATTAGCCACACCGCAATTAGGGTTTCATGTAATTAGGGTTTACGTAAAAATTACCCAACCACATTGAGCAATTAGCCATACCACAATTAGGTTTCATTTAAGGTTTCTTACAATTTCCCATGGAACAATTAACCATACCGCAATTAGAGTTTCATTGAGGGTTTACATAAGATATAATAACATTTCCCACCCCCATGGAACAATTGACCAAACCGCAACCACCACACCACCATCACCACCACCACCATCATCACCACCACCACCATCATCATCATCATCATCGTCATCAACAACACCATTTCCAGTTCCGGGCAAACCATAGGGTCTTGCCGTAGTATTATATGTTGAGGTTCATTAAACAAAAATAACAAAGACCCTGTTCTTGTGGGCCAAGGTCCATAGACCCTTTCAAGACCTATTTCAACAACTCACAGACCGATGTTCTCAGCCCTGAAATTTGGGTCCATATATTCTCATACTGTAATAATCATATTAATTATTAATTATTAATATATACCTATTATAGTCATTATGAATCAATGAGTACAATGGGATTTTAATTTTTGTGCATACTCATTGTGCCCGATTGAGAACGACTACGCTATGAGTAATAGTTATTGACATCTTTTACCATATCCAGATGATCAAGTGGACGCCATAAACGTTGCCCAATTTCTTAGGGCTCCAGGTCCCCCGGTGTTGGTTGCCTGCCGCCTGCAGGCGGTTGGAGCTTTCCGGCGGTGCAGCCAGACGATGAGCCCTTCAACACGTCCCCCCCCGAGTCGCCACCGCCACGAGGTGGATGAAGATTTTGTGGATCGACGAAGAACTCAAATTTGGAAATCTTGGGGTATTTTATGGTGTGTCAATGGGGTTTAAAACGGGTTTTTTAGAATGTGGGTGCAATTTCTTATGTTCAATGATTTTCCTCAAAATCAACAGTTCGACCATGAACACAGACAAATTTTCAGTGGAAACTACAGTAATCTTCCAACTCCGTATTTTGGCATGGTGGTTGTTAATTTTGGGGGATGGTATATGATGGTTTATGTTATATCACAATTGGCGTACATCAAATAAATTGTCCCGTTGGATAACAATTTCCTCATTCTCAGCGAACAAAATTCAATTTGTGCAAGTCACATCTGGCTACATATATGTTGGGTTGGTTACCTGACAGGTAACCAGAAGATGATTGTGATGTAGATAAACCATATACAGTTTTACAAGTTGCTTTATAAAGCCAACTACTGTGAAGTAAAACATATATCCTCCTGAAATCGATGGTTTTCTCCTCATTTTTTTTGCCCAAATCGACCACAGGTGAGCCCCGGGTCTCTTTTCGAGCGAACGGCGGTTGGAGTCTTGCAGGTGAGTCGCCGCGAGAGCGTCGAACATTTGGTGTATGATCCCGCCCCATCATCTCGTGAGAAGTTGTAGTGACCATGGTACAAGCTGATATGAATTGTTCCCGAGCATCGATCATCCAACTTAGTGATTAAGAATCTAGTGACTCTAGTGTTCGTAAGTCCCATATGTAAAGTTATTCACGTAAATCCAGTTGTGTGTATACATATATAAAATCATATATATATATATATTATATACACAAAGTTTTTTATAATACATATATACACTATATATACAATGACCTATAGATTTTACATAATTACATGGGTTCTTAGTACATACTACGATTCTAAGCCTGTTGCAATGGGATGACAACAGCCTCCACCGTGGGGCCCAGTACCAAATCGAGGTCCGAATGCGGAGCCTGGCTCCGAAGCCGTCGCGCCGCCGCCTGCGGGCATATCAGCTACTTAGATGATTTGTTGATGTAATATCATCAAAGATCACATCATATTCACTTAATATCCATGAATATCCGTCAAATTCTATTTTGATGTTGTTCCAGACATCACAAAGGATCGATATATATATATATATATATTATATAGGTTATATAGTTTTAGATTTGCCCTGGACTTATGCTTTTTCTGGTAACCGGTGGCTATGTTACCATTTTTGGAGTTCACAAGCTGGAGCAAGATGAGAAACCGTATACAGGGGTTTCAACAAATGGTGGTACCCCCAAAATCCTAAAATGGAAGCTTTATAATGGAAAATCCTATATAATAAAATGGATTATTTTGGGGTACCCCCGCTTCTTAGGAAACCAATATATATATATATATATACATGTATAGCATATGTATGTAATGTGATGTGATGTGATGTGATGTAATGTGATGTGATGTGATGTGATGTGATGTAATGTAATGTAATGTAATGTAATGTATATATATATATATATATATGCACAATACTGGTAGTAATGTCCAATATTTTGACCTGGCTCAATGCCTTGAAGTTTTTTCCCCGGCCTGTGCTCTGCACCATTCGGGCAAAATTGTGTTTTGTTTCAATCACGGGTTATTTTATTATTATATGGTTAATGATGGTTAATGATGGTTAATGATGGTTAATGATGGTTAACGATGGTTAATGATGGTTAATGATGGTTAATGATGGTTAATGATGGTCAATGATGGTTCACTATAGGTATATGGGTCTGTCTGAAAATGGTACAAACCATAGTTCACTTAGTTCTGTCTACCTACTTAGCTATGGGGAAATATATCCCCCAGAAAAACACATATTACCCTCTGGTTATTTAACATGGCCATGGAAAATCACCATGCTATGGATAGGTAAACCCAGTTGTTCACCATCTATTTCGATTAGGGCCATCGAAATCCCATGGCAAACTGGCAATGTCATAACCAGGTTGGGTAAATCCCATTATATTCCCTATAAATCCCCACACATTTCCATTAAATCACCATAAATCACCATTTATAGTGGTTAAATCACCATTAAATAGTGGTAAACCATCTTACATCCTGCGGGCCCGCGATTTCTCATCAGCCATCAATCCCGAGGTTCGCACACCGGAACGGCTTGCGGGGCTCGGCCGTTCCACGCCGCCGAGGCGCGACATTGGGATATACACCCAAATAGCTCTACGACGTAATGGGGAAGATGACTACCCTCTGGTAAACATACAAAAAGCTATGGAAAGATCCACCATTTTTAATGGGAAAACTCACTATTTCTATGGCCATGTTCAATAGCTTTTTGTATGTTTACCAGAGGGTATCAACCCTTGGATTTTGTGGTACCATATGTTCACACAACGTTTTAGTCTGTGATTTTACTGTGATATGTGGGTATGGGTCAGTATATCAACGGGGTGAGACCGCAGATTTTCTTCATCCAATATCAGAGGCGTATCTGATTCTGACCCATACCCATATTGCGATTCTGATTTTAGATGCTTTCAAATGAAGAATCAGGGTTTCTTAGGGATCCCATCCTATCTTTATATATGACTGGAGGTTTCAAGATTCAGTAGTATTCCTTACCATGGCTGCGCTATTGGCTTTGAAATATCATCCTCATGATTGTATCCCCCGGGTCCTGGGTTTGTCCAAAATTTGGTATCCTCAAAACCTGTGGTCTATCATATGATTCTTCATAGACAATATTAGACAATGCAGTATACCAGTACTGTATACCATTCCAGATTGAATCACAGATGATCACAGATGTAAAATTCATCACCTCCCTCGAACGTATTTTGCCCGCATGATCCTTTACGTGTGGTGAATATAGCCTACTTGGATTCCGGTCATGGAAGTAGTTTAACAAGGGATGATGAAAACTGGGATCCAAGGACTACCCCAATCAGGATCACCAGTGGAGTCACTAACCATGGCCCATCTAAGTATCCCCTTATGCAATCCAATAATCCCAGCAAATATTCCCATGTTCTCCTACAACATCTCCATGAAATGGTTGAAATCACCCGAAAATATACCACTATAAATGATCTATGCCCAGTAATGATCTAACTATAGCTATATCTGCCATGAAACATGGTAAGCCTGGTTATAAAACAACTTAATTATATATCAAAGATGACCTATAGATCCTCATGCTTGATCATTTTGTTGGTTAACCCCCCCGTTTTTGAAAGGAACATCACCCACATGGTACTCTTGCGGGGCTTTTCAGCTCACTGTAGGCCTCTCCCTGCCTTGCCATCCGCACTGTGCCGCGGCGTTGTCCAAGAAGTGGGGAGTTTTATCAGCAAAACACACGGGGTCTTCACCAGAATTTGGAGACTTTACCAGCAAATGGAAGAAATCTGGGGATTAAACCAGGAAAAAATATGGCACAGGTATCATCATGAGCCTCACCCACCTGGTGATATCTTGGCCAACCCTACTCACACTTCTGAATCAACATCTTTACAGCTTGGGTGAACGAGTGAACTAACTTGCGCACTGACCCTTAAATCCAACATCATATTGCCGGTTATATGTATCATTATGTTTCAGTGATATTCCCATGGCTGGTTATGGTCTTGATATGTGTTGATCATATTACCCACCTTTAGAAAAATATATATATATATAATACTGCTGGCTGTATATATATATATATACATGAATATGTCCTCTGATAATCAATTTTCATTATTCCCATGAATTAGGGCAATCATCCACCATATCATCTAGACCTTTGACCCCAACCAGGTCAGTGACTCTCCCAGGTCAGTACCTTTCACGCGTGTGGACAGCTTCCCTCGGCCGTTGGATGCTCCCTCAGAAACATGGGGCCAATCCAGCGCCACAAAGGAATCCTAAGTGTTTCAGTACCTAACTTGGTATTCCCCAAGAAAGAATCAAACAGATAGAAACATATTTCCAGGATGGTATTGAATTTGATGTGTTCTTCATAATTTCCTGCGGTCCAACTTTTCTATTTGTGTGGAAGTTGCTGTATGGGAGATTCTCCCCAAGTACATCCATATCGGTTGTGTTTTATTCAATGTAGGAGCTGGACATCGAACGTTCGAGATTGTTTGGGATGAGCGGTTTCAAGCTAGTTACATCCATGTATTGGAAGTCACGGCCACATATGGGATACCCTAATTGTACAACGTTCGCTTGCGTTTTTTTTTGCATTTGTTGTGGGCCACAATAACAAAAATCCATCGGTTTTTCAGGATCCCTATGCGCGGCCCTTGTCACCGCCATTGCGGCAGGCCAGTGACAGTTTCTTTCCCCAAATTGCAGACCTGTGATGAATGGCAATTCCCCTATTGAAATGGCCATTTATAGTGGATTTACCCATTAAACATTGTGATTTTCCATAGTTATGTTAATTACCAGAGGGTATCCAGAATCCACTTGGCACTTGGACAAGCAACATCAGCAACAGCGTCGAGTAGCTCTCATCCCTTGTTGCTGCATTGTTTTCTGCTTATATGCCCATGACATATGATTATATATCTAAGTGCTTAGTAAGCGTGAAGTGAGATTGGCACTGATATCCAGTCATACCATCAGGATACTCTGCTGTCACTCCAGCGGACTGTGTTGTGGGTTTTCAGAAACTTTTGTGTAGCATCTTTGGGCTTCTACAACATGACCCTGTTGGTTGACCCAGAAAAATAAAAAAAAACACGTTAAAAGACGTTGTGGTGGCAAAAAAGATAGAACACATAGATCCCTGCCAATTTGGTGATGGTCTACTTTTCTATCCTTCTGGTGCTTAATTTGGTGTCCAGACCGATATTTTCTGGGTCCATGGGGTGGATCTAGCTCGAATCGGTTGCATTCAGAAAGGCAAGGAACAAAGATACGTTTTTGTTGAGCATCATTTCAGTTGCAGTAATCCAGCTGGAATATTTAATCTTAATACCCTTTAAGTTCTTTTTCACCTCATGATAATGAAAACATGGTGCTTTGCGGTTGAAAACTTGTGACGCGTTCTTGACATCTTGAAATCTTACATGATTATTGCTTAACAAAGGGGTACCCCACAAAAGTGGGATGGTTAGCGCTCAAAATGAACAGTATTTGTGGCTTGCAAGGCCTGAAGTTTGGACTTTCAAATGAAGAGTGGACCATCCCAAATTATATAAATCATTTGTCCAGACAGTTTTTTTTACGGTCCCAAAATGGCACATTTTTTGCATCAGAGATGTTTTCCGTCAGGGGTGGGTTGGGGTGTGGCGTTGCTGCCGTTCATGTGCACACGTAGGTAGGCTACGTCAGGAATGGCCTGCCCTCACCACCTGCTTTTCTGCAGCAATTCATGCAATAGCAAGTCTCCAGATCTGCGTTTTTTTCGTTTGCCGAGCGGATGGTAACCAATCACCATTGGGTAACCATCAGTAACCTACTTCTGAACCCATGTAACTCACACAGCAATGATTCTGAGTTTGCCAATCATCAGTACCATGGTGACCATGGTGACCATGCTTCGAGAAAAGGAGGGCTTGGCAATTGGATTAAAAGTACCAAACAAAAAACGATAGACATGTGTATCTGGTTGGTGGTTTGGAACATTTTTATGTTTCCATATATTGGGAATAATCATCCCAACTGACTATATATAATATTTTCCAGAGGGGTTGCAACCACCAACCAGGTATATTGATATTTTTGATATAATTAAAGATTTACCACAATTTTAGTATAGGATTCTACATGTTTATTTACTAAACTGGAAGGTTGCTTGAAACCTCCGTTGAAAAAAAGGGAGCGCGGCTTCCGGAGGCCGGCTCCGCCGCGCGGCTTTCCGCTCCACGGCTCTTGGAGCCACAGCGGCTTGAGCCGCAGGACGAGAAACGGGACCAAAATGGGGTATCATCCAGTGGTGGGAATTACCCTCTGGTAAATTAACATAGACCCTAAAAACACTCAATTTTTAGTGGAAACTAGTCTTTTAACCCCTGTTTGCCAGGGTCAAACTGTTAATTTACTGGAGGGTCATATGGAATATACCCAAAATGAATAATACATGGGATCTTATGATTATTAATATTACCCTTTATGGATCCAAATACCTTCTTAGGAAGTGTTTGGGGTATGATTTGGGGGGTTAGCCGTATCTTCTCAGGAGGTGTTTGGATCCATAGTGCCATAGGGTTACATCCATTGGTGGGATATCATCCATTCATATAGTGATGATACGATATCACATCGTTGGAGACCATTTAATGAATGGGACATTGTAGTATGAATAAATCATTACTAACGTAATGTCCATTCCCTATGTATCGACATTAGTAATGTAGTTGTCGATAAAACATCATAGTATTGTAGTATGAATACCCCGGTTGAACTACCCAGTATTAGGCATTAGGGGTGGACTAGCCATTTATATAGTTTTCAGTAGTTTTTCACCCTGACTGTTTATCCCATGTTCTCCTCTATATTGTTAACTAATGGCTAGCACTATAGTAAGCAGTAACATTATAATTACCATTGTGAGTTTAACAAATGTCGCTGCTATATGATTTCATGATATTTCATGTATATAATTCATGGACAATGGCACATCAATAGCGCACACAGACACACAAACCCATGATCGCAGGTTTCCCCCACCTGCTGTGTGAAGTTTCCAACTTGTTTGCGACTTGAAGTTTCCGAATGTAACTTCCTTCGGTAATCGGCCCCAAAGAGATCAACAACAGCGATGTGATGTACAGTACCTCTATATGAGCTCTCAGAGACCCCTGCTGGTTGGTGGTGACTGGAACATGAATTTTATGTTTCATTTCATATATGGGATGTCATCCCAACCCCATTGACGAACTCATATTTTTCGGAGGGGTAGGACAACCACCAACCAGCCTGAGTTTCTCTGAAAATACGATACCTCATGGGCCCTCAAGGTCTGGTGGCTTCCATCCTTTCCATTCGAAGATATTCAAATAGCCGCAATGTCACCTGGGGGGTACACCCCATTTTCACACGCGCACACACACACATAAATATCATAACTGGTTGGTTATATCAGTTATTATATATCCCATTCATATCCCATTATATCTCTATTGTTCAGGGAAAGATCTCGAATGTCGATGGTCAAAGCCAACTTAACTGGTTACACATAAGCTTATCACAAACCATCATAAACCATAAATGGGGTGACATCATTTGACATCCATAACTGTCATTTCGGGCCATAAATTTCGTTTCTTTTTGATAGCGCGGGCCATAACTGTCATGGACGTTCCAACGTTTGGCCGCCAGGATGGACGTCGCTTCGATCCCAGGCTTTCACAGGCGTCGCGAATCTATTTCTGGTTTCACGGGGATTTCACCAACGATAAAATGGAGATATGCAAAACAAAAAAACAAGCAGAATGGAGATATTTAATGATAATTTGGGATTGGAACATGGTAATATAATGATTATAATGTAATCTTATGGGATGCAATGATATTTAATGGTAAATTAATCCCATTGGATTCAATGGAACATGGTAATATAACTAGCAATGATGTTGATATTGTTGATATTGTATGTAAATATAAGTTGCAGAGAAAAACATCACGTGGCCAATATGATAACGAATCCCTGAACATCGGTGGCAGGGATGGACCTAAAGCATGCTTTGACCATGGCACTAATACCATGGCACTCATACAACCAGTAATGGTGATGTTATGGGGATGCTATGGCATACGTTAATTATGCGTATAAAGATGTATAAAGCATGAAATAGTCAACAATCACAGTTATAGATATTTGGGTGTCTCTGAGAATGGGATACCAGTGGATATACACCCAATTAAAAAAAAATAATCTTGATGATTCACCAGTGGATTTTGGGGAAGCCTATTTTCAGACAAAGCCATACAGCCAAAAAACTGATTGCACCAACTGGAATGGGGACACAATGAGAAGATGTATAACATGGGTTTGTCTAAAGACAAGGTGCAATTTCAATATGGATGATGATGATGATGATGATGATGAACAACGGGATTTTAGGGTGCCGTAATTTTAGACAAACGCAACCGACAATTTTCTTTAGGTCTCGCAACTTAGAATTGAGACCATGAACCTCGGTACACCGTTGCCGGTGTGGCTGCTGGTAATCTCAGAGAACCAGTTGACGCCACTTGATCGGGCATTCCTGCTCTACGGCTACGTGTATTCCATCCTGTTCGACGACATCATTGAGTTCTCGATCAGATCAATCTGGGGAGAGGATGTTTTCAACGAGGGTGCTATCGGACTATCGGAGGAGGATTCAACCGTGCAGGACCAAGGTATGAGCCTTACCGTCACTACTATGAGCTGCCGCTCATGGCCGCCGCAGTGACGACAAGAGACACAATTCTCTTGCCAGAACTCCCGGTTACAGTGACTTAGTGACCCATATCCAACGTCCAGGATCAAACTCAGACTGGTTTGGATCTTTCATGTTTGACTCTATTATAGCCAGACAGAATGCACAGGTGACCCCGAAGTCAATGGGAGCTTACAAAAGAACATTGATTGCGGACAAAACGGTGGCTCTTGACATATCGAGTTTCATCGTTCAGAGGGCAGCTACGGCACAGATCATGGACAGAACTGGCACCCAGAACACCTTCAGTTATGGATTCCTCAAGACGGCTTCCGTCTATGCTGCCATCAGATCGCCGGTTTTCCTCTATGAGGAGTCAGCTCCTGCCTTCGCCGTGCTGTTGCGCAATGCGCCTTATCAAGCACCACTTATCTTGCGCAAGACGGGCATCGTGGCTGAAGCAGAGAGACGCCTTATCGTGAAGGTGACTGCCGAAGTAGTGGCCGAGATCATACATGTATAACAGCTGGTCAAACGAAGACATAGCCGTGTTTTCCAGTAGAGCATGTCTCCGGAACGTCAAAAGACATTTTTTCTTAGACAGGTCAATCCTCTTGAGAACATGCGTTGCATCCCTTTTCGAGATGGTGTTTGGGTTGCAAACTGGTCTGATTCTGACCTATACCTTGGAAATTGGTGTGCCCATTTTGCTGCCAGAATGTCATAACCGCATGCAGCATGCAAAAGTTTGGTATTTGTGTTTTTCTTGATCTCCCTTTATATAATCCTTTACGTGTTGGTGATTCAATCCCCCTGACACCTTCCAAATACCATGGCCAGGTGCCCAATCCTTACGCCCCCAGTCGTTTGGTGCCTTTGGACCAACTGGGAGCGGCTCCTGTGCCCCTTGCGCCACAGGTGGGAAATGGCAATGGATGAGGTACTGCGAAAAATGTATTTTTCAATTACATTCCTAGATGTATGTTTCAGAAAAATTATCATGTTTTTGTTGGAATTAATGCACTTTGCAGGCCCTTAACTTAAACATGGAACCCAAACAATGATATATCTTCCACACCCAATTCCTGGGTTTCATGTTAGATTTTGGTGGTGCAAAACGATAGCGATGTTTTTCATTTTGTCATTTTCATTGTCACATGTTTTTTCATTCAATTTCTTGTATTTTACTCTAGTTTGAAATTTGGAAAATAGAACGTGAACATGGTTCGTGAAACATATAAAGATCAGGGTCCATAGATAGTTCTCTTGATCTACTAATGTACTTATTAAAAACACACAAATCACAACTTGGAACATGAATCACTGATTTGGACTTAAGAACATGACGTACAATCCATAAATCCAACTTCAAACATCGCAAACCAAATTTCCCAAATGTTTTTGGATTTTTTTCATGAGAAAATCCCTGGTTGGTGGTTTGGAACATGAATTTTATATGTTCCCCAATTTTTGTTGGGATGATGTTATCCAATCTGACGAATTCATATTTGTTTCAGAAGGGGTTGAAACCACCCACCAGATCCAGAAAATTCACGATCCATGGGGACATGTTCCATGGCGTTTGATTTTCCAGCGGAGGACATGTCCAATGCGCTCCAGGTGCCCAATCCCTACACGCCTCGACTGCTGCATCCGGAGCCGAATGGCCCGAATGGCCCGAATGGCCAGGCCAGGGGGGATATGACCTGCCAGGTCAGTTGAAGCATTAGATACTTTTGTTGATGGGTTAATATAGGGGATTATATATACTATAGAACTGATCTATATTCGGATGTTTTTTTTCGGCCACACTAGGAATAGATTTTCTAACCAACCAGTACAATGGGATGCCATCCTTGGATGTAGTTTTCATGGCTCACTTGTTGAACCGAGTTTGCACCAGGTGGTGACCCCCAAGTGATGTTTGTTGGTTTATACAGCCCACTAAGGATGTCTGTATATATATATATATATGTATATAACTGTATATATATATATAAATACATATCCACCATAAACTATAGTTGACCTGGTTATGAGCCGTCATTTTGCCCATGGTGCACCAGATTTTCATGATCCAAGATTGCATCAATGACCATCGACGGGAAATCATAATGTTATGATCCAGTTCTAACTGGAACAGCCCCTGTCTATTGGACTCTTCACCAGGGGTCAACAAAATTCAACAAACCGCGCAAGCGCGCGATTTCGAGCACTTGGATGATACAGTTTTTACATGTTTTTACGGGGAAAGAGTCTTCTACTCCCAACTCATGACAGTGTCGATTTGTTCGTAGGGATGGAAAACAAAAAACAACCAACCATTCACTGACCTACAAGCTCTGTTTCCGTGGTGCCCCATAGTTGGCTATCTTGGTCCACAACCCCCTTTGACTCAACATATACATATGTATATATATATATAATTGAAGAAAAAATATTAATATTAATACTCATAATAATAATGATAATAGTAGTAATAATAATAATAGTGATAATCATATTAATTCCCAAAATAATTAAAACAATAATAGTAATAATATATACCATACACCCTTTTTATGTGAGTTATAAAACCAGCTTCCTTAGCGGCGTGATGCACCTGCATATCATATTCCTATCAGATGCAGTAGTCCAAGTTCCTGTAGACATTTCCAAGTATCCGGTACCGTAACATACAGTACATCATCAAATGCTTGTTTCATATCCCAGCATGAGTCCATGGTCCCTCCAAGTCCCCACCTCGAGTATAGTTATCTAAGAATCAGTTGTTATAGTATGTTATAGTTACCCTCCACCAAATTAACATAGACCCAGAAGCCCCCTTTCTGTCACGGTCAAACTAGGGGTAACAGTTCTCTGAACGAATTTGAGCAGGTGTTAATGTAGCAAGGCCGTTACGTCTGTAACATATCATCTCAAGCGCTGAGTGAGGTGTGCCATGGGACTGCCATTGTTTTGTTTCATCTTGGTGTCGGTGCTGGCGGCCCATTTGATTTTCTTCGGAACCTTAGGTCTGATCATCTACCAATCAAATTATCCCTTTGTCATCCTCGAGCGGGTTATCTCTGCTTCTGTTCAAAGGGTGGTGCGGGAAAGCCTTGATAGTGAGAGACCTGAGTTGGTGTTGCCTAATCCCCCAGAAGGATCAAGTGGGTCTAGATTCCTTGTGGTGTCCTGGACTTTGATTGGAGCGATCATCCTTGTCGGCTTAGTGTTTCGGTGCTGCGTGAATAGCTGGATTCCTCGTAGTGTCTCTTGGGACAGGATCACAGAGAGTCCCCGGAGCCCTGCACCAGAACTGGCTGTGGTAGCAAGACAACAACTTGCTGAAGTGAGGTTGCGACGGCATCATGCTGTCAGATCGATTGGCTCTAGTTGAGTATGATGTGCCTGGACCTAGAGTAATTCATGAAAGGTGGATTCTAGATCACATTGAGAACGAAGATTACATCATAGTGACACCTGATGCTGACATCTACGCAGAGACGATGTCTGTTCAGAACCAGGACTTTAGGTCCTTTCGGTTGCGTCCAGCCCCAGGGAGACTGCCTCCTGGTGTGGTCCTGGCCGAGGCATATGGTTTGCGAGCTTGGACTCCTGCTGAAAAGGCCAATTTCCGAGTGCTAGCTACCGCTGAAGCTACTGCTGAACGGGGCCGACGTGGTTTGGCTGCTGCAGCAGCGGCAGGGCCAGGGGCTGTTGCCGCCGCGGCGGCTGCAGTCGCTGCCCCGGCTGCTGCTGGAGGCCGGCCTGGCATTGAGGAGGGTTCCATAGTCCAGCCCACTTGGGTGGCTGCCGAGGCATCTGGAAGTGTCCGATATGGCCAGGTAATTGACCATGTTTTAGCAGCTGCAGTGGTTGGTGCCAAGACAGTGCATATGATGGCAGATGGCAGTTCGATCTTTTGTGAATGCGTTGATGTCTCCACAGTTGAGCAGTTCAATTCAAAGCCTTCTCTGTGTGACTCCAGGATCGTGCCCGTCAAGCTGAACGCCCTCAAGACACCAGAGCGTCCATTAGCTGAAATAGTTGCCTTGGGGATGCAGCATGACATGGGATGGAAGCTACATGGTCCTAGGACCGCCAAATGGTGTTGCAACTATCTTGTGATTGAAGGATTGGGCTTTGAAGCCCACCACGAGAGATTTCGTACGTTGTGCAAGCTCGATGGTGGGGCGTGGGGAGTTCAAGAGCATTTCCAATTGAGTATGATGTTGAGACAACTCATCCAAGTCGATCAATTCGACCCCTTCAACTCCTATGGTATCGAGTTGATGTTTCGTCGTGCCCAAACAATAGAATACTCCCATTCTGAAAAGGCTCGCGAGTTAGAGAGCCGGAATGTGGGAGGCAAGCTGTCACTGGAGGAGCAATACTCCTTTGGCTCTTTGGTCAGACAGGCTGGTACATTGATGGTGTCTCCAGACCTTCTGGAGCACGTGAAGGCCGAGGTTGAGAAGGACGTCCAGCTTGCCAAAAACATGAGGAAGGCACGTGAGGAAAGGGAGTTGGCCAGGAAGAAGGGTGGTCCTGGTGGGAAGAAGGATGAGTCACACCCCTGAACAGCGGGGTGACAGGGGCCGAAAGACCTAAGCCTCTGTCGACACCCAAGGTCTTTTTGAGCGTGGACCCTGACCGTGAGGTTCCACGTGACTTGCTGCCTCTGCCAATGGTTGTGCCTAGGACGCTGGAAGATGTTTCAAAGCTTTCTCGTAAAGTTTGTCAGCGACTGCATAGATCAAAACATGAGGTGGAGATGGTCAATCAGTGCGTGTGTTCTTTGAATTCATTATACAGTGGGCTGCCCGTCGGGAAGTCGAAGAACTTATCTGGTAGGGTATCCCAATCCCAACAAATGGCTTTGGATCACATCCTGAAATCTGTCCAGTTAATGGGGGCTCCACCTGTGGAGCTCAGTTGCTCAGAGGCGCCGCGGCAGCTTCGAGCTTTTGATGGCTACAGTGACAATGACCAAGTCCCGTGTGCTGTCAAGTCCTATTCACCATCTTTGCTTTCTTTGCCGGAAGGTGGGAACCGAGTGTTACCAGTTGCTGGCTTGATGGGTGAGGGTGGTTGTGAGATTTTGGACGAATTTTGTCGTTCGAGAGTTCTGCACGAAAAGGAAGCCCGAAGTAATCTGGATAGGGCCGGGGTGCGGGAGTGCTACAGTGATCCCTTGCTGAAGGAACCAGGAACTTACAAGGAGTTCATCAAAAGGCTAGCTAGGGCTGACCTCATTGAGTTCACGACGTCTGCACCAATTGAGCGAGTTGAGGCATTCTTTGTTGGCAAAAAAGATGGCCGTCTGAGGATGGTTGTTGACTGCCGGCGCTCCAACTGCTGGTTCTCACCGCCGGACAAGGTGCGTCTTTGCACTGCAGAAGCATTGTCCCGGATTGAGCTGGAACCAGGTTCGGAGCTGACAGTCTGCACAGCTGACCTCAAGGATGCATTTTATCACTTTGAGCTTCCTCTGGAACTACGTAGGTATTTTGGCATGCGCCGCGTACTGGCTGGTGAGGTTGGCATTTCCTGCATTGATGGTGTGGCTGTCTCTCCTTCAAGACTGGTGTGGCCCAGGTTGAAGGCCTTGCCTATGGGATGGTCGCATGCTTTGTGGTTCTGCCAGATGATTCATCAGCGAATAGTGCAAGGCGTTGGAGCCGGAATGCAAACTAGGTTGGAAGACCGTACAGCAGTGCCTTCAGGTGATTGCATGCATCTTGAGTATGTTGACAACTTTGTGGTCCTTGGAACCTCATCCTCAAAGGTGTCTCAGATCGCAGAAGCAGGTGTCAGTGCCTTGAGAGAAGCTGGGTTTGTAGTGCATGAAGAGGAGACCTCCAAAGGGAATATAAAAATCCTCGGATGGGAATTTGAATCCACGCGTATGAAGCCGAAGAGCCTTCGTGTGTGGCGAGTTCGATGGCGTTTCAACAGCTGCTGAAGACTGGAGTTGCCAGTGGACGACAGCTGGAAAAAGTGCTAGGTCATGCAAACTTCATTTCACTGGGGCGTCGAGAAGCACTATCTATTTTTGGGGAGACTTATACTTTTATCCAAAGACATTACCATATCCCTCGTCGGTTGTGGCGTTCGGTGCGGCGAGAATTGGAAATCTGGATTGGTGTTTCCCCTTTAATATGGAGAGATTTGGCACTTCCCCGGTCCTCCGAGGTTATTTCAGTAGATGCATCAACATGGGGATTGGGTGCAACTACAACTTCAGACTTCACTATACCAGAGATTCAACAACTTGGTCGATTTTCAGAGCGTTGGAGATTTGATATAGATGAGTTCAAGTACCCACGAGCCAGTGCCTTTGGTGTTCACAGCAACGCTGTCACTGATGAGGCAGATGTGCTGCAGTGGGCGGCCAGCAACTCAGAGGCGCGAGGCTTGGTGGGACAGAAACCCATACAGGTTGTTGAGCAAAAACCTCAGTCTGAAGTGTTTCAACAAACACCCTTTTCAAGTGTTCAAAAACGCTGGAGAGTTTGTGGGAGATTCACGTGGAAGCGAAAGGAGCCTATGCCTGTGTTAGAGGGTCGGGCGTCTCTTTTTGGTGTGAAACACAAACTTCGGTCTGTTGATGGTTTTCACAAACGTCACCTTTTCTTGACAGACAGCATTACAGCAGCATGTTCTCTTGATAAAGGTCGTGGTAGCAGTTTCAAAATGAGAAGGGTTACTCAACAAATTGGTGCATTATGGTTGGCATCCGGAAGTTGTGGTCACTACAGATGGCTTCCATCAGAATGGAATCCGGCCGATGGCCCGTCTCGTGGTTCGAGATACCCCAGTGTTCCAGTTCAGTATCCGGCTGATGGTCATCTACCGCCAGCTGCAAGTGTCCCCCCCACGGAATGCAAAGCGTTGCAAAAAGGTGCTGAAAGATCCTGCAACGGCGCAGAAGGCCAAGAAGGAGAAGCGCCAACAGCAATTGCAGGAAGTGGGATCTTTAGCTGCAGCCTCGGTGGGGGCACGGTGCCGGAGCAAATATCTGGAATGCTTCAACAGGTTCTGCCGTATGACCAACCTTCAGAAGAACAAGATCAAGTCCTTCCCAACCTTGGACACTGCCTTGACATATGTGCTGACAGAAATGTTTGGGGAAGGGGAAGACATCAGTCAGGCCAACTACATGATAGCGGGGGTTCTCTTTTTTCTGCCCGAGTACAAGACACCAAAGATGACAGGTCTCCCCAACACCAAGCAGAGCCTTCAAGGATGGCGCAAGCTGGATCCTCCCAAGTCCCGCTTGCCTTTACCTTGGCCAGTGGTTTGTTTGATGGTGAAGGAGGCTTTCAAACAAAGGCAGACACAACTAGGGCTGATGATGCTGTTGGCGTTCAATGCCTACCTGCGTCCTGGAGAGATCGAAAAGCTGCGGGTACAAGATTTGGTGCCTCCTGCGACCAAGCAGAAATCCTGGAGCCTGGTTCTTCATCCCTTCGAAGAGGGGATCCCTTCCAAGACCGGGGAGTTCGACGAGTCGTTGATGCTGGACCGATTTCTCATCCTGCCCCAGACAATCTACAGGGTGATGAGAGTGCAGCAGCAGCGTCCCTCAGCCCCTCTGTTCACCAGGACAGCCAAGGAGTTGAAGGATTTCATGACAAGCCTCAGCGCTCCCTTGAAGCTGGAGAAGCTGGAAGAGCTTCACCCATACCGCCTCCGACATGGCGGGGCCAGCGAGGACTTCAACAGACAGACCCGCACCCTGCAAGAAATTCAGAGGAGGGGGAGGTGGAAGTCCTTCAGCAGTGTGCGGAGGTACGAAAAGGGAGGCCGGGTCAACCAGCTTCTCAACAGCCTACCGGCTCGCACTTTGCAAGCCGCAAACAACGCCGTAGTCGAGATCCCAACAATTCTCCAAAGCCTGCGTTAGGACCAGCTGCTTCTTTGTTCATCCCTGTGTTCTTGGAATTTTTTTCCGGCTCTGGTCACTTAGCCAATAGCGTTGCCACAAACACTGGATGGCCTACTTTGCTCTGGGACATAACATTGGGCGAACAATATGATTTGAGGTCTGCAGCTAAAAGACGTTTGATAGTTGATTGGGTAAGAAGTAACCGTATTTGTGGGTTGCATTTGGGAACACCATGCGAGAGCTTTACAAGGGCACGTGATGTGCCGCCTGGTCCGCCTCCTTTGCGAAGTGACGCCAAGCCGCTTGGATTAGAAGATTTGAAACCCCATGACCAACTGAAGGTACAAATAGGGAACCTCTTCATGCGCTTCTCAGTGACAGTGCTTCTTTGGTGTGGTTTATTGGGAATACCGGCGACTCTTGAAAATCCAGCCCGTTCTCGTATTTGGTTGTGTCCTCCAATTATAGCTCTCCTGCGTAGAAAGTTCTGTCGGCAATTTGAGACTCATTACTGTTTTTGGGGGAAGCTTTTCAAGAAGGCTACAATCTTTCTGGCTATACATGTGAACCTCTCTAGACTGGAGTTTTCGCAGTGCAAGTGTAGCAAGCGGGGGATATGTGGCTTTACAGGCAAACCTCATCAGCAGTTAGTTTGCCGAAATGCAGCAGGGCAATGGCGTACCAAATTGGCTGAACCCTACCCAAGCAAAATGTGTGAAGCAATCGCTAAAGACTTCAGAGACTTCGAAGTACAACAAATAGCTAGTCATTTTTCACGGCACACCTCTTTGTCGGCTTGACGGTGTCAAACCAGTTGGCATGTCCGAGATCTGCTTTCCTTTTGCAACAATGGGCCTTGCTGGAATGATGCAACTATGGGTATCTTTCAGTGTATCACATCAGTGGTCTTTGCAGACTTCCCACTGAATTGCTGTGCATATGCAGATCTTCGAAGCAATGTCTGGCCGGTGAAAGAGTGCATCCGAATCATAACAGTTCTCTGAACGAATTTGAGCAGGTGTTAATGTAGCAAGGCCGTTACGTCTGTAACATATCATCTCAAGCGCTCCCAAAACCCACATGCCGCCCAAGGCGCTTGGGTATCTTTCAGTGTATCACATCAGTGGTCTTTGCAGACTTCCCACTGAATTGTTGTGCATATGCAGATCTTCGAAGCAATGTCTGGCCGGTGAAAGAGTGCATCCGAATCATAATAGTGATAATCATATTAATTCCCAAAATAATTAAAACAATAATAGTAATAATATATACCATACACCCTTTTTATGTGAGTTATAAAACCAGCTTCCTTAGCGGCGTGATGCACCTGCATATCATATTTCCTATCAGATGCAGTAGTCCAAGTTCCTGTAGACATTTCCAAGTATCCGGTACCGTAACATACAGTACATCATCAAATGCTTGTTTCATATCCCAGCATGAGTCCATGGTCCCTCCAAGTCCCCACCTCGAGTATAGTTATCTAAGAATCAGTTGTTATAGTATGTTATAGTACCCTCCACCAAATTAACATAGACCCAGAAGCCCCCTTTCTGTCACGGTCAAACTAGGGGGAGTGTATGTTCACCAACTTTCCCATCATAAACCACCTCAAACAATTCCCACAAGGAGGTGCCCCCAAACGATAGCTAAGTTGGTGCAACTCCAATTTCACTATGCTTCAGAAAGGGGATGATATTTCTCTACCATGGGGTGAAACTGAACCAACACATCCCAGGCCCCCCAGGTCTCCGGGGTCCACTGCCAGGTCTTGCCTTTCCCGGGGCGGAGCTACCCTCCCGCGCCGCTGTCGAGCGCCTCGCCGCTGCACCCGACCTCCGCGCTGTCGCTGCGGGGGGCACAGCTGTCGGTTCGGCCTAGCACCATGCGCCGCGGCAACCATTGTTTTTGGAGAGAAAGATGGGGGTTTGAATCTTGTGGAAATCTTGGGAAAGATGTTGGGAAAACCGTGAAACATGGGGTTTCAAGATGTTTTAGCTGGGAAATGTGCCAAAGAAATCGGGAAAAAACTTTGGGGGGGTATCACCAGATAGCACTATACTATACGGATCTATACGGTTTACAAATTGTAATGTATTGTGAAGGAGTGACTACGGCAGTGGGTGGGGAATATGTATTGGTCTTGGCTAGATTGTTACATAGATGCCAGACGTTTGTTATATCTAGGAAGTGGCTGTCTTGTTGGTTCCAGTGGGGATATGGTGTGGGCCTTCTTGCGTTGCATAGAGTTTGGAACCAGTTTGATTGTGGAGCCTCAATGACTCAACAGTTGCCATATTCATTAACAACATCATCCAGCCCTATTTATGCATGTTGCATACAAGGCGGTGCCCCCTCAGTTGTTGGTTTAGAATATAGTTTATAAACCCCATTAAGTATAGAATAGTATGGATTATAGATATATCTGCCATAAACCATAGAATTCATCTAGGCAAGTAAACAAACTTAGCTAAGTATGGGGCACCACTTTGTATCAATGTTCAGGGGTCATTTTCACGTGTCTCTGTCTACTTATGTTTGGATTAGTGGGGTCATTTATGGGTCATGTTCCTCACTTTGTTTCGGCTATCCCACGCTTCGTTGCTGGCATATTGCCCCTCTTTTTATAGCTGGGATAATGTACTGATTGTCTAAGGTAAAAATCCTGGAACATCTACCGGAACCCCGGTCTTTTCCCTTGGAAAATCCCCACGATGCCCGAGCCACCAACCGACTTAGACCATTGCCCAATTCTTTGCGGCCGCAATCGATGAATCGGCCGCCGCCCATGACGATGCAAGCGTGCCTCGACCTGATCGCAGTGGTTCCATGTGAGATTTCAATCTGGACACTTTTCTAGATCTTTAATTAGTTCGATTTGGCTGGCAGGATAATGTCGATATTACCCCGAATCAAACATGGTTGAGATTTATGTTGGGGTCAACCATCCCAAGAAGTGAACTCAAAATTCGGTGAACTGTGAACTTCTTGTACAGTCTTATTGGGGGGTCACTTTTGGGAGGGTTGGTTGAATGCCCGTCGTGATGAGGGTGCTCCTTGCATCAAAAACGGGGGGTTGGCATGCTGAGTTTGGATGTCTCTATTTGGGACAAGATTTGTGGTGCTTCCAAAACAAACAAATGCAAGGGTTTGAGCCAGAATGACGCTGCATGATTTGTCGATGGTCATCCGAGATGTCGAATTAATATGAATCATATATATGTAATGAGTCCAAACGAGGTGTCATGTTTCTTCGGATTCTTATTTGAACAGTCGATATTACTTAGTTCTTGTATGTTCTTGTGTTTTTGTATTCTTCTGATTCTTTTGGATATCCAATGGCATCTGATTTGATGGGTTTGACGCTTCGAACAAATCAGATCCCCAAGGCAGTCCATGCCGCTACCAGATGAAGATGATGGCCATGTGCCTATCCCTCATCGCATCGAGGACCAAGAAAAATTGTCCAGAAAGATCCATCAGCCTTCAAAATATTAGCTGGAATATTGCTGGAAATCATGCATACAGTCCAATAGTCAATAATAGTCGCATCCTCTTGAGACTATATTCTATTATTGATGGGACCCAAAAATGAATAGATACAATATTCAGAGCAGGGTGAATGTTTGATAATCTGGGACCGGGTTTTTATGAGCAAAGGATATTGCCCAGTTCCATAGTGGAACTCAGAAGGCCAGATATGGAGTTGGATGGATGTGTCGACACTGGTGCCATTTGTGTCTGGTAGGGTCAACCGAAAGCTGCACAAGCAAACCTTTGTGTGAATGGTATGTCTTATTTGTCATGCTATTGGTTGTTCACATTGCTACAATGCAAAACCAAATTGAGCAGGTCTTACAAAACCCAATTGGTTGATGATTGTAAGGGGGCTATACTACCCAATATGTTGGGAACTTTCATAATCCATAAGCTTGAAATCCCTTCAAGTCACAATGAATTTGTTGAGTATCGTTGAGTCTCCAATATTTGTTTGACATTGCTGATTTGTGGATTACACATACACATGGTGAACTTATGCATTAGCATTGACAATGGCACAATTGCAATGTTCATGCTATTCCTCAGAATGCAATATTGGCCACATGATATCACAGTCCCAAGTAGAAGAATCCAAATTGCAGGATCCTTACAGGATTCAAAGGACATGGCTCCGAACACACGAACTGCGACGGCATAGGAGGTGCTTGTACCAGCGCCACTGACATCACAGTCTCTTGACTTGTTTCCATGTATGTATGTAGCATGGGAATCCATGGGATACTAACCACCTCCCCAAAGATTACAGTATATCATGTTTATATATATATATATATGT